ACCCGGGTTTGATAGGCGCAATCCAAAGACCCTAACCAACAAGCTAAATAAACAACTGTCAGAGAAAAAAAATGTTGCCCTTAACATGAAACTGATTTTATGAGTAGAAACAGTGCAAGATTTTTTTCCTCTGAAAGATGGTTGTTCAGCTTGTTTGTTAGGGTCTATGGTTTGCGTTCGTCGAACCCGGGTTCTATTCCCTGTCCCCTTGAATTTGTTTTCAATACATTTTTCATGAATGGTAAATTCCAAAATAAAACTAGCAAGGCATAATTAATTAGAATTAACGTTATAAGAAAAATTTAAAAAATAAAAAAATAAAATTTCTTTGTAATTTAAGAAATGGTTTTGAATACCTAATTGCAGCAACCTTGTACAAACTTTTGTAATAAGCTTGTAGAAAACTTTCACTGTAAGCTTACAACAACCCTTCACGGAAAGATTAATGTGCATGGACATTTTGCTGCCTGCGACAAGCTCTCGTGCTATCTGGGTATTACAATTAGATTACATATTACATAAAAGTTAAATATTGAATAATTAATTTATTAAATAATATATAAGCAAATATTTCCTTACAACCCAGTGGGCAAAAAACCATCATTGTTTTAAAAACGTTCCAAAAACGTTTTTAGAACGTTTTATGTCTCCCAGATAATGTTCCAAAAACGTTCCATTGATTTTAAAACGTTTTTGAAACATATAACGTTTTTGGGACGTTATTTGGCAGTCATGAAACGTTTTAAAAACGTTTTTGGAACGTTTTTAAAACAATGATGGTTTTTTGCCCACTGGGAAGTAAAGCTTGCTGCAAGATTTCAAGTAATATTGCAACAAGTTTACACGGCAAGATTCCTGTGGATCATTAGATCACGGACCTATGACATAATACTATAATCAATTGCAAATAAGCGGTCAAGAAAATAATCGAGGTTTTTGATTCGGAGGTTCAATTTATAATACATTATAAAGCATCGTCGCTTGAGGGCAGAATGATGCCATTTGAATCAAGATTGTCAAAACATGCCATCTCAAATGTCAATTTTTTTTGTTTATTTTAGGTTGACTGAAATATCTCAAAAAAGCGAAAATCGTATAAAAATTATTCCCTGAAATTAACTTTGGATTCCCTTAACTTTTAGGGTTCAAACTGCAATCAGATATAAATATTACACGGAGAAAAATTTATTCATAATGATTACAATAGTCTAAAATAAACAAAAAAGTTGACATTTGAGGTGGCATGTTTTTTAAATCGTAATTTAAATGGCATCATTCTGCCCTCAAGCGACGACATACTTTCAATCAAAATAAAATCAAATAGAAAAAAATTAAAAACTCAATAAAGAATTTTTTTATTATGATGAGAGATCGAGAATTAAAAGAGTGTTTTTATTCCAATTCTATTGAATGCCGGGTTTTCTCTTGAATCTCCAACTTCTTAAGTTCTTTATGAGTTAAAGGTTAGACCATGTGCGAAACGTGCAAGTGCAGTAAATTCGACAGATACAATATTAACGAGCACGTGCAATGTAGCGCAGTTTTATTTAAAATCAAACTCCATAGGACTATCTACAGAAAGGTCAGTGTATTATAAGGCATTGTCAGAAAATCCAAAGGCGAACGTGTTTGCCTTTGAATTTTCATATAATATTAATATTTTCGTGATAAGTATTAAAAAAAAATCAAACAATGCTTTGAGACCTTTTTTCATGATATAATAAGAAATACATTAAAAACTATTTAATGAAAAGAAAAATGAACCTTCTTCTATTAAGAATTGAAAATAACTTTCATTACAATTTATAATATTACATGACCTGGCGATAATATTAATTTGCAAATCACTAATCGCGTAAAAATTTAAAAAGATTAAGTTGGGATATTAAAAAAAGTATAAAATATGATATGAAAGGGTAAAATTTTGACATGTGTTGAATTAGTTATTACAAACACACAAACAACCTGGGTTCATTTTTTTTCAGGTCAAAACAAATTAATCAAAAAATAATTTTTAAACAAACATTTTTTTCAAGAGTGACATTTCTTTGCTTTTAATAACAATGTTTCGATGCTCACTTATTTCACGAGTATTTAAAAAAAATTGATCAAGACTCTAAACATTTACAAGATATTGTATTTTTTGTCCTTGCGCGCAACCGCTCAACTTGTTTAAACAAGTTTTAAATAAATAACTATTGTTAGAGTAGAGTGGGGCTATAGGATATCCTTGGGATATCCTAGGGATGTTCATAGATATCCGAACCGCCGAAAGCAAATGGATATCCTCAGGAAGTCCCAGGGAAATCCTGAAATACCCCGGTGCTGTGAGGGAAGAATTAACCGATTTGAATAGATGAACTCTGGATTGAAAGTTTTGTTCTTTGGCTTCAACTTTGCTGTACATTATGGTTTTCCATCTTATATGTGAATCGAACTAAAACCCTTTTTTAAAAAATTTGTCAAAATCACGATTCTCAAAAAGGCGCATAAAATATTTCTTTTATACTTATATAAAACAAACTAAAAGCTTAATCTTGTTTCCTAGCAGTTAGTATTTCCGAACCATCATGAACAAATCATGCATCTGCTTCCTTAACAGCTTCTTCATTCGGTCTTATACGTTTTTGAATATTTTTGAGCACCATAGAGCTGAAAATGTGACAAAATAATAAAGTTGTCAATATTGATAACGCTACAAAGCGCCACAAAGCCGCTTTACCTAGCCCCACTAGCACACTTGACAAAAAAACTAATGTACTTCTAACAAAACTTAATAATTTTAAAAAACCAATACAATATTCAAGCTCAGCAATAAATTTCATGTCAGAATGTGATGCATGCCGAACCTAACGTTATCTAGTCAGTTTGTGACAGTGAGTCTTCCTGATCGACGGCAAGGAGATTTGAAAAATTAGATTTTGAGGTTATACTAACTCGCCTCCTAGCCCCGCCCTACTCTATTTACTAACCATTTACATAAGAGTACCCAGAAAAAGATGCAGTTTTTTCTAATTTTGCAAATTTACAACCTTTGTTGAAATACCGATTCAGCTTAAAAATAAAATTATAATTTAAATAATTTTAAATTGTAAAAGTTAGTAAATGACAATAATAATTTGTTTAAGGAAATAAAAATTTAAAAAAATTCAAAATATTCTCAGGGGAAAGTGGGGTAAACCGCCCATAATAAAGGTTTTTTGCTAACAGGCCGGTTTCACTAACCCTCTGGGGTAAACCGGTCCCCATGTGGGTCAAAACGGCCTTTTTAGTTTTTTATCTCTATAATACTGAATTTATATAATCTAAATATAATTAATGAAAAAATAACAGGATTATATTGGATCAAAAATCAGATTTCTAATTTATATATGTATATGGGACAAAATTCCTCAACTTTCCAGGTCAAAAAATTTATGTTGTTGAATTTTCTCGAAACTTTGCTAAAATGTTACTATTATTATTATAGTAGAAGTGTAAATATAAATTTTTTTTGAATTTGATAAAATATTTTTTGAGTTACGGAGTTTCAAAATTTTGACTTTTTTGAAAATATCTTTTTCCCATTTAATATATTGATATAAGTAAAATTAATCAAATTAAAAGTGTAAATTTCACCTTGAAATTCAAGGTTGAATTCTAAATTTCAATATATCTCAAAATCGGTTTTTTTTTTATTTTTTTAAAACCTAAGACAGAATGTTTGGAAATACTACACGATTTTTTCAAAATTTTCTTAAGAACAAGTTCGCAAAAGTTTATAACGCAACTAAGAAAAAAAGTTTTTCCCAGCGTTGCACAAATACAAGTGTAAGCACATGGTTGTTTCAAATTTATAAGTAAGACATTTGATAATTTCACCATCTCAGAGAAATTGACAACTAGCCGGCTTACCCCACTCTCCCCTACTAATATATAGCTGAGCATTTTCCTAAAAGAAAAATTAAATTCGGTTAAAATTTACGAGTTATAGGTGATTTTGAACATTAGTTTGCAGGTAGAGTATAGCCTGATAATGCGTTTAGAGCGGTTGCATGCAAGAACAAAAAATGCAATATCTTGCAGATGTTTAGAGTTTTCCTAAGTTTTTTGTAAATATTCGTGAAATAAGTGAGAATCAAAACATTGTTATTGAAAGCAAAAAAATGACACTTTGAGTAAAATATTTATTTCAAAAAAATTTTTTAGACGAAATATATTTTTTTAAATTTTTAGCAAAAATAATAAACAATTACTAAAAAATTCATCAAATTTTGGCATTCTTTTTAAAATTTCAAAACCTCATAAATCTAAAAGTTTTTAAAATCTCTTTCGGCCTTTTTACTGTCAAAATCGAAGAAGTAGGGAACAACTTTGATTTTTTAGGCTTTGACTGAACTATCAATAAAATTTAATTATTTGAAAAAATCCATTTTTAATTATATTTAAAAAATTAAAAACTGGATTTTATATCCCTTCTACACCTTCTTTGTTCCTTTTTAACACTTGCTTTTAACACTTGCCTTCTTTAATAAAAAATTTGTCAAATATTTACATTTTTAACCAATTTAGGTTTAAAAGCGGTTCAAAAAGTACTAGTGAGATTCAAAACATTAAAAAAGTATTAATTGAATTCAAAGGAAGCTTGAAAGATATAGAGGTTTATAATTTCGACTTGGGTTGAATATTTTTACATAGAAAAATCTAATAAATAATTAATTCAATAAATATCAACATTTTTATACTTGACAGCTTTTTATTACATTTAAAAAGTTTAAAGACTTTTTCACAAAATCTCAATTAATCTCTTTAGAAAATGAATTTTGCTATAAAAGTTATTTGTAGATTAGCAATGGAATAGAACACGTAACTTAAAAGTCACAAGTTGTTAAGCACAATATAGATATATATATTCTTCTATCAGAATTTGTTTTTAACCAAATGACAAATTAAAGAATATTTAATAATCGGCATCAGTTAAGAAGGTGATTTTTTCTTTCCATTCTAAAATTAGTACTCACGCAGGCGCGAAGGGGTGCAGGGCCGTTGCTGCAGCGGCAGCTGCGAGAGGCCCTGGGTTCCTGGCAAGAGCAAGTGCGGCGGCACTTGCTGGAAATGCTGCTCTAGTTGTACCAACTCGCCCTCGTTGAATGGAAACTCCTCTTAATGCAGCGGCTGTAACAAACATGCCACAAATGGCCTACCTTGTAATTTATTGAAGATTCGCTTTCAGTTCAGTCGATTCCTTGTCGAGCTTCGATTGGGAGCGACGTCACACGTAGTAGCAGCACCAGCGGCTTCATCACAAGCAGCAACCCCATCAAATTTACCCACCACATATGTTCGAGCAAATATTTCCAATCCGACATGATGAAAATAGGATAGTTTCATAGAGAAAAATTTAGTCTTTAGAAATTTGTGAGAAACAAAAAGACTTCCAACATTCAAAGGATTTATCAAAGAAATCTAAGAGTTCATTGTGTGTAGAAAGCTTCCCGAAAAATCTAGAGAATTTTCCAAGTTTATTAAGGAATTTAGAAGATTCGACAAAAGGAAATAAAAATTCAAACAAAATTGAAAATTTATTAAAGCATTTGAAAATTACAGACAGAAGATTTTTCAAAAAAGTCTAAACTTCTTTATAAAAATTCAAAAAGTTGTTCAAAAAGTCTCCAACACTTAAATAAAGCTTTATCAAAACATTTAGAAATCAACAGATTCTTGAAATAATGAAAACATCAACAAAGACACTTCAGAAAGAAAAAAGTCTAATAAAAGTTCTCCCACCGTCAAAAATTTTTCACCCATAGAAAAGAAAAGGCAAAATAAAGTTGACTATCCGACAATGTTTTTTGAAATTGGAAATTGATACATGACATGGTTAATAATAAAAAATAGAATGCGGCGTCAGTCTCGATCGAGATATGAGAAGAGTGTATATTTTTTAAAATAAATTATTATAATCAAGTATGCGTTAATTATGCAACTCAACAAGTTATGAATATTGACATGAGTGCAAAAGATGAAATCGGGACTTTCGTTTAAAGGAAAAAGTGATATCACGTCTTCTTACTGTCAGACAGACACTCGAAACACATATCGTGTTTGAAAATGATCGATTAGTTTAGGATAAATTTAGTTTCGGATATTGTTGAATTTCAGAATACACAAAAACCGTATTTTGGGGTGTGATAAGCTGCCAACTTGTGTTCATGACAGCTAATAATGAGAAGAAATGCATAAACGGATGAATGAATGTAAGGTTTTATTTAAAAGAAAGATTATTTTGAACGCAAAGTTCGAGGTCGAGTTTCTAGTCAGGACTACCAAGTTGTAAGGTGGGAGAATGAGGAAATAAAATTAGGAGTCAGTCTTGGTTGAGGTAAAAATGTTTCTTAGGTCAAACATTTTTATCATTTAATTAATTAACATTTGGTTGAAATAATAACATATTTACTTCCGCCAAGTACTGAATTGTTTTGGTTCAATGATAATAATTGAACTTTACTTTATCTTTTACTTGATTTAATTAAATTTTTTTCAGTGTATATAAAATGCAAAATTGTCTACATTATTGAGACAAATAAACAAAATAAAATGAGAAATATTTTTTATCGAACATTGTAAAAGGTCTGCCTACCTTTCATCAGCGTTGTATCTAATAAATGTTAGCTGCTTTATTTTATAATCTGTTGAATTTACGAATTTCTTTCCAGAACCACAAAAAAAGATTAGAATTAAGTTTCTAAATTTAAAGGAAGCAAGCATAACAATATGAATTTTTGTTACTGCCATAATTATGGCTAATTATTACATATTGTATTGGTGGATATAGTGCAGACATATTCCTAACTTAACCTAACTTGAATTACAAAGTCAAATTTTACTTTTTTCATATTAATGAATAGATGTTAGAAGACCTACAAAAAAATTTATTTTACAAGAAATGAAAATTTTGAAACTCTGACTCGAAAAATATTTTGTATATAGACTTCTACTAACAATGACAACATTTTAGTAAACTTTTATCTTAATTGGATAACTTATATAAATAACTTATCTGGAAAGAGATTCGCAACGAAAAAATAGCAAACAAAAATTTGAACAGTAACAGTAAGTTTGCAGTGAGTTATTTTAGCACTCAGTCTATTCGCATTCAACTACACGGAAAAAATTTAGGTGCAGCTGACGTTCCTACCAGACTTGCTAGGACAACATAATTCCCAAATCAGGATCTCGGTACGCCGAAATTTTTTCCGTGTATTGTTTGCTACCTGTTTTCAGTGTGTTAGGTCAAGTTCTAGAGCGTGATAATGCAAAATAGCAGGCACATTCCAACAGGAGATAAAAATTTATAAATTTAATTCATCATTCATTTTTAAATTATGACGTCGGACGTAAAAATCTTAAATTTACTAAATTTGAAATTTTTACGTCCGACCTTTTATTGAAAAGTAGTGACTTATTAATTTTTATGTTGTTTACATTTTTTGTACCCCTAGATATAAACACACACCTGTACTCCTTAGTACATATTAGGAGCCCGGTTAAAAGGCGTTAATTAGAACCAATTAAAATGATTCCATAAAATTCATAAAAAATTAGGTATATTAAACAGAGTTAAATTGATTTCAACTCAGACCAACCTATCAGAATTAAAACTTGAAAGTTCAAAAACGAAATTAGTTTGGATTGAAAAGTATTAGAATTGAGCGATATTTGTAAAATTATTTATTATTATTTAGAGTAAATCAAAGTGTAATATTTCGTTTAGAATATAAAATGCTGACCAGAAAAAAAGTATTCAAAGAACCACAAATTTTATATTAACGCAAAGGAAAACACAATTATTAGAAAACAGAATTTAAAAATCAAAAACTAAATTTGATTCAGTATAAATCTGAAACAAATGCCTTAAAAACTCAATTATTTAGTTTCAAGCAAAAAACCACAATAACAAAAATATCCAAAGAAATAATACGACCAGAGGAGACCAGGACTATTTGGTGCAGAGTTTTAAGTTTTAAGTTAAATTAATTGTTCTCTCCACTCAAGTTAAAATACTTGATGAACTGTAAGTTTGTACAAAGTTTCATTTTTATTCATTAATTATTGTGGAGTATAAATTAAAATAATTGATTTTGGTACTCCAAAGCAAATTGTTTACCTCTTCATTTTTTTGTTATATCTTTTTAGGAAATGATCTTAAAAAAAGTTCAAATATCAAGTTTTGAGGTCTAAACATTTATTTTTAAGGGGGGAGTCTGGTCAAATCAAGGGTTTTTTCCAAAGTGTTTTTTCTAAAGATATAATATATTTTTATTAACCAAAATTTTTTTACACGTAAGGGAACATATTCAGAAGAAAATTTAAACAAAAAAAAATTAATTTAAATTTAAGTATATATAGAATGATATAGTAGTGACAAGTCAAAGGGTCGTAAAAATCGGCGGGCGCTCTGGAGTCCACAAAAATGGTCTAAAATAGAAAATCGAAGAAGTTTTGGTTAATATATGATAGTAAAATGAGGATGAACCTATAATATTTATGAATTTTTATTATAAAAAAAGTTAGAGCACAATGAATATAAAAAACTTTTTTCACTTTTTTTATTTTTCTCGACATTTTTGCAAAAAAATTTTTTTTAGGTAAATTGAGGTTCATCCTCATTTTACTATCATATATTAACCAAAACTTCTTCGATTTTCTATTTTAGACCATTTTTGTGGACTCCAGAGCGCCCGCCGATTTTTACGACCCTTTGACTTGTCACTACTAGGGGAGAGTAGGCTACATTGAACCAGCGTCAACAGTGAACCACTTCAATTTTCTGAGAAATGACTGAGTGAAATTTTTTCTTATTTAATATATAAGTTAGTTTTACTGAAACAAACTATGTCCAAAAATTTCGGGCACGTAGGTTTATTATTTATAAAGAAAAACCAAAAAAACTGTTTTTCACGTACAAAACAAAAAATTTTGTGGAAATATAATCAAGTTTTCTTTTGAAATAGGAAGTTTTAAAAATTAGTAAACTTGTGATTTATTTAGCTTAGGGTGCCAACTTCAATATTCCGATGTGATAAAGAATTTTAACTCTTACATAAATTTATTATAAACAATTTTTGTTGTGAATGTCATGTGAATACAGTGAGTGCGGCATCATTGAACCACCCGAAAAAGCAAAGAATTTTCAATTTTAAGAGTTGTAAAGTTGTCTGCTCTACTAATTAGTAAGCAAAATACTGGAAGACATGCTTTCATCACAATTGTGAACGAAATAAACTCAAACTGTCACTTTACCTACCTAACCTGACATCAAAATATATTAATCTCCTATATTAACAAATAATAACTCTTTAACAACAATTTTCTATTTTTTTGAGTGAAAAATAAGATTTTTTACAATGTGTAAGTGGAAATATTATTGTAGAAGTAAATTGTAGTGTTTTATTAAAGGTGGTTCAATGTAGACACACATTCTTCAAAATAAGAAAAGTGTAACTGGCTAGAAAAAAATTTAATTTTATTATTTAATCATAATAATTTGTGTTTGTAACGTGAGTATTAACTAAAGGAGTACTTCAGCTTAATTTTCATACAAAAACCTGATCGAAATTAGTAAAATTTTATTAGTTCTTGGACTTTATAAAATACCCGGTTCAATGTAGCCTACCCTCCCCTATATCATTCTATATATACTTAAATTTAAATTAATTTTTTTTGTTTAAATTTTCTTCTGAATATGTTCCCTTACGTGTAAAAAAATTTTGGTTAATAAAAATATATTATATCTTTAGAAAAAATACTTTGGAAAAAACCCTCGATTTGACCAGACTCCCCCCTTAAGGGACAACAAAGAATTTTTTATTTATATTAATATTGTTAATAAAAAATTAATAAGTATATAAAAAGTACCTTCAGGGTTACTTGGCGCGATTTGGCCAAGGTTTAATAAAATTTAATATTATGTAATTTATATATTATTAAGTATCAAAAAATAATCCTATTAAAAAAATTGAAATGAAGAATGCGTCTTTTAAATACTCACAGTGTCTATTTTATACAATTTTCTATAATTTTACGCTTACACAAAAAATGTTTTTAATTGTAATTAAATATGATCCTTTCTTAAATGTTTTTATTGTAAAATGGCAGTAGAAAACTTATTTAAC